ATAATTAGTTGATTGGGTAATCTATTGTCAATTAGGGCATTAAATCCGTAATTGTTTAATTGCTCTAAAATAGTGACAACTGGCACGATTGGGTTTGTGTCAGGGGAATACGCGGGCTAATCTAAAATAACCCTGGTAGTGCGTTATTTGGTTAGAATAGGGCTCCACTAATACGTAAGGCAATTGGGGAATTAAATTCTATGGGCGTATCTAGGATTATTTCTCAATTAGAGCAGTGATTAACGGGCGTACCTTGATCACCGACACAGTAAGGAGGGGTTGACTGCCATCGTTTGTTTGGTAGTTATAACCTATTTATTGATAAATAATTGGGATTGCCTTTGCTTCGATGATCAATTAGGTGCACCTTTGCTGAAGTTATTCCTTGGCTAGATCCTTAATTATCACTCATTTGATTTTAGTAATTTGTTATTTAATTTTTAGTAGCTTTTTATATTTTAGTTGAATTTCTTTGATTGTCACCTTCTGCATAAAAACACTCCCCTTGTCACTGTGAACTTGAAAAGAAATAATTACTCCCAGTCCCTGTGGATTCGACCCTACTCACCACTATCTACAGAAATTACTTTTAGTTTGAGCAGGTATTTATTATTGCACAGGCTTCGACAACCTGTCACTCCAAGACCCACTATAGGCTACAAAGTGAATCAGTATCAAGTTATGAATTTGAGTTGAGTCTACTCATAAAAAGTAAAACTTCTGCCCCTTCAATTGCACCATAAACAACTACATGTATTACACCTATTATGTTATATCCAAAGTCATGGGACTTATCTCAAGTAGACAACCATTTATGGGACTGCAATAAGTAACAATGAACAGCCAAAAAACCAACTTCAATCTATTGGTTCTCCAGCCAAATAATAAGCAAAGCCATTGTGGAAAACACAGAAAAATGTTTCCAAAATTGAATTCTTTGACATGTGTACTGAAGAAAAAATGCATAATCAGGCAACCAGTGAATGTTCTTTGTGAAATCACTATACATTGTCAACATTACTCTTCGGAGTTATAAAGCTTTCTACTGTCATGTAGAGTTATAAATCCGACTAATAAGTGCATCCTTCTCTTAAATTAATACTATGGAGATTCCCAAATAGTTAACTTATTCCAACACTGAACAAACTGTTCTTTGAATATTTTTGCTCCATCATTTTCCATGCGATGCAGAAAACCACAAAGTCCCACATGCTCTTGACCACCAGATTTATTTTATCAAAAAAAAAAAAGAAAAGAAAAAAGAATGAAATTCCGGAACATCTTGGTTTCAATCTACTTTTGAGTTTCATTTCTTCACAGAAAGATGAATCAAGGTCAACCATAAAAGCGAGCAAGCCGCAGATGTTCAGATTAACACTGATTAAGCAACAAAACATAAAATTCACAAATGAAAAATTCGAATTTCCACTCATGCAGACTATCTCTACATAAAAATTCTACATGACGCCTAACAAAAAGAAAAAGAAAAAAAGGTCTGGAAATCCAATTGTCACTCTATCTCTAGCACTACAATTGCATGTACTGATTAAACATCCATTAACCACTCCAGTTTAAACCAATAAAAAAAAAAAGAACAAAAGAAAAGAAGAGAGAAACACAAAACGTACAAATGTACACAGAAAGTGACTTACAGAGCCAGGAGTGTAGGCCTCAGCATAATGACCTTCAAGCTTGCGCATGCGGGATCTCATATAAGGATCACAAGACAAATAAGATTCTTCATCAAGATTGCCCCTGAATAATCGCCGCCATCTGGAAGCTTCAACTTCAAAGCAGTTGTTTTCTCCTCCATATCACTCTCTTTTGGGAAACCACTCACATAATTCTTCAGTATAACTTGCTTACTGCTCACTTCTTCCTCTGCCATTTTCTGAAATCCTCTCCCCGAAAAGAAAACAACCCTTTTCTTCTCTGAACTAACTAGTTTGGGAGGATGGAAATGAAAAGAAAAGAAAGGTTTTGAAGGGACAAGAAAGTTTTTCCATTGTTTGGGAGTTAAAATGAGAAGGAAAAGAAAAGAATAGGAAAGATTCCACTGGCCTCCATCTTTTGGAAAATTTTCCGCCCAATGTTGGGCGGAAAGGGAAGGAACGGATAGAAGTTTAAGTAATTTTTCAATATGACCAAATTACCCTTAAAATCCTGATACAAAACATTTTAATACCCGGTGAATCCCTCTCACATTTGTTTATAGAAAGGGCATATTTGTAAAATAATTTATTTAAGTATCTTTTTCTTTCCTTTGCATTCAACTCCCAAACAAAAGAAAATTACTCACTTTCTTTTTCTCTTTTAAAACTCCCTAACAACTTAGATAGAAACTTTGATCTTTTCTTTTCTTTTCTAACTTATCATTTCTCTTCTTTTCTTTTCTATTCTAAACTCCCAAACTAGCTAAAATATTGGTGGGTTTCTTATCTCTTTGGAAATGGAGACTGAAATCTGCAATGGGTCGGAATTAACAGGGGATTCTTGTTTTTGTTTTGTCGTTTAACTTATAGGTTTGATTATTTGGCATTTTGTTTTTGTTTTTTCATAAATGATAAAGTCGATATTGATATCTTGTACTTTAGCTAAAAAGACGGTTCCCTATGAAACTTTGGTAGGTCAGGTAAAATTGGATTATTGGCCAGCAACATGATGCAGAGGTGCAAAAGAGATGAATTACCAAATGGGAGTGGAAAGAAGAAGTTTTGCATGACTTTCTGAAGCTTGGGTTGTGGGCTATTTCTGAAGTTTTAAAGTGATCTATTGACAGGGCCATTAGCTTAAAAAGCATAAGCAATGGACATAGAGGGAATGACATTAGGCTGCTATGATCGCTCTATTGTACATGGATCTAATGCAGTTCGGGTTGTGGTGTATATGAATGAAATACTTGACATATATTTGGTATAATATTAAAATATATTTGTATGTCAAAAATTTGAACACGTACAACGGTCGGATAAAATCATATAAAACATAATCGTGGCTTAACGAGTTTTTGAGAATTGTTCGATCGATCCGACCAGTTGACCCTTGATTCAATAGTTTAGGTGAATCACTGTTCGATCTGAAATTAACAACATTGATTTTTTTTTTACACAAGGACAGAACCAAAGTGGAACAGGGTGGAGTCACCTGCCCCCTCTCCCAAGTCCTTAAAATTTTAAGAGTTTTTTTTTTTTAAAAAAAAAAAGATATCTTCTATAAATTAGACTCTTTGCCCCCACAAAAATGTTCACAAAACTTTTGTCTTAAACTTCAAAGTTTTCATGTGCATGAAATTGAAAGCTAAGGTGCCCTTCTCAAAGCAAAATTTTCAATTCCATCCCTGGTTGTATGTGATTTTCTTCTTTAAGTTTTTGTTTATCTACTGTGTATATCATATCATGGTAGACAAAAATAAGAAAAGATAGGGGAAAACAACAATCAAAAGAAAGGGAAACATGACCAAGATATAATATGTAACATTCAAGAAGCACCAATGTAGGTTACAAATTCAAGAAGCACTAATATAGGATACAAAATAAGGAAAAGGAAATGAGAAAGTACTATTAAAGAAGTAAGAAACGAAAAGCAAAGAATCCCAAGAAGAGAAGAGAGGCAGATAGAAGCAGCAACACTCGCACCAGGCATCCAACTGATCGGCATCAAGAGAGGTCCAAGAGACAAAATACAACAATCTTATCGTCTTGGAGATGTGCTTTCTGCCCTTGCTGGTGCTGGAAAAGAAAGTTTCAGTGTTTGTTATAACTTTTAGAAAGTAACAAAATCATCCAAGAATAAAGAATTTACAAACATGATGCACTCGAGAATCAGGTTCTTCTGGAGAAATCAAGCTTTGTGAGGTTCAGTTCAGAGCAAATAGCAAAAAATGGCTCAAGGAATTGCTAATTATATACAGTAATTAACATGGGTCCATATGAGGAAAAGAAGCAGCCAATCCTACCATACATGTCAATTCCTATACTTTGAACTTCTAGATTAACTTGTGCACATCGTCTAATCATGCAGAAAACAAGAAGAGATAAAGTTGATATGGTTCATTGACAGATGCGCAAAAGAAGATGTATGTACGGAGAACAAATAAAGCATGAAATTGTAAATGAAGCTCTCACATATATGAATCTCAAGGTTGGTTTATCTTTGCTTTGAAATAGTCTATCCTGGATTTATTCAATGTTTGGTCTTATTATATGGCTTTACTTCTTTCTAGAGCAGCGACATGTAATGAACCAGTATGTGGTATGTCATAATGGAAAATACAGCATTAGATGTGATACTAAGTTTGTGATGAAGGGTTGGACGGTATTCAATCGGAACCAACTAGAATATGCAGTTTAATGTATTATCTATACATTGGTTGTAAATTCTACCTTTCGTCTTGTTAAAAGCAATCTATAGCAGAGTGGAGAGTAAGGAAATCACTTTCAGAAGAGCTTTGAGTAGCCATGGATATCGTCCGAAGACTTTCAATAATTCAGCAAGAAATGCAAAAGGGAGACTTGTATCTAGCAAAATTTCATATAACGTAGCCACAAAAACAGCATTGAACTGAAACTTACGTGCATTAAGGAAAGTAAGAAGAGGCGAAGCATTGCACACATGGTTCGAAGTCTCGGCCGAGTCGTCACCGTCTCGGCCCCTACCGATACGATACCGTGACGAAACGATACTGAGATACTTGACTCGCCGAGAAATCGGCCGAGACGTCACCGCGACGGATTGACTCGGCCGAATCACTCCGAGTCACTCCGAGTTAAGACGAGAAATCTACCGAGTTATACCGTGATGGATTGACTCGGCCATTTCTTTTGCTATTTTCTTATTATTTTTGTTTAGCATACTTTTTTTATATTATTAATAATTTTTAGAATATTAAATACTTTAAAATTTGCGTCTCACCGAGACCGCGACCGATATGTCGAGACCGATGTGGAACGTTCCAGGCCGCGACCGTGACCGCGACCACGACTTTGAACCATGTTTGCACATCATGGCAGCAGCTGAATTTCTGGAATATGAGCAATCTTGTACCATTCTTGGCCGATCTCTTCCTTGCATCTGTCCTTGAGACGTGGACATTTTTTAATTGTCAATTTCCTTAATTTGGTGAGGCGACGCATTGCCTCAGCAGAAGGCAAATACGACAGATTTTGGCAGTCTGCAATGTCCAGTTCTTCGAGTGAATGGAAGCTACCCAAGAACTCTGGCAGAGCCCCAATCCCGTCAAAATGCTGTATCTGTAAAAAGATCAAGTTGGAGAGATGCTGAATCTGCTCCGGCAGAGATGTGACTGCTTGCCAACCCCATAATCCAAGAACCAGCAACGAGGCAAAAGGATGTTGGAATTCTTTGTTCTCATTGTCCGTAATGGTAACTCTGCAAGGATTAATGGTGCAGCTGGGCCAGGGGAAATAATCAAGATCTTGAGAGAAACCACCTAGCGCCAATCCTTGTAGTTGAGTCATCCTCGACAGAGGATGCAAATCCTCTGGTTGAATAGCAGGGCACCCCAATAATGCAATTCTTCTGATTGATGTACAGACTTCCATTCCACTTGGTAGTGAGCGCAAGTTGCCGCATCTCCCAAGATGCAGCCGAACTAGAGATCGTAGGGAATGAATATCTGGAATGGAAACAAGACTGGGGCAACCCAATACTGTTAGACTCTCAAGAGATGCCAATCCTCCCACGTCCTTTGGTAGATGACTTAAACGAAGGCATCCCGAAATACGTAGTTCTTTAATGCATCTAAGGTTGTGCCAAACACCATCTGGCAGGCTTACCAATTCGGGACAGATCTCGACTCTTAAAATCTCCAAAGAAGGGAATATCTTGACTAATGAATGTGACGAATCAAGGCGCATCAAACCCGACCACTCTATCAAATCAGGCATATCCTCCAGAATTAGCTCTTTTTAGTGCCGGAAATAAAACCACAGCATCCCCTGCTACGCCACTTGGATTGCAACTTGCATCATCAACATTTTTCCAACCGAAGAAATCAGTGCCGATGCAATTTACACTTTTCATTCCAATTATGTTGACAATATTGAGGTGAGGGAGGTGCCCAAGTGGTGGAATTTGCTGACACTTGTTGAAGTTCCTCAGTAGGATCTTCACAAGATTGCGAAAGACCAAAGGATGGCTTTTGGTCAGCATCCACGATGGAAGGCTTCGGCCCATAAAGTTTTCCATTCCGAAACCTTTCAAATTTGGGTCAGGTTCAAGACCTTTCAAGACATCCTCATCAGTGGATCCGTCTCTAGTCCTAGTATCCCAGTGAAGTTCCAAACTATCAAGGTTTATCTTTGTGGATATTTTTGCTTTGATTGCTTCCTCTTGGTTGCTAACATTCTGGAGATCAAAGATCTTCAGGTCGCCCCTGAGATTGTGCAAACGCCCCAACTGATCAATTTGGCATCCCTTATCTTGACTTACATAGAAGAAAGGCAACGTCTGAAGAGAACTCAATTGCCCTATATCAGGAAGCAAGCATGGCTTGCCGTTGATGATTCCATCTTCTTCAATGCACAAATGCCTCAGGTTAGCCAAATTTTCAAAATTTTTGGGAAGCTGTTGCAGATTACTGAGTTTCATTGTTTGCAAATTGTACAACAGTGTGATGGGATTTGGGAGCTCTGTTATTGAAGTCCTGGAGATGTCAAGATATCTTAAAAGCTTCAACTTTCCAATCGTGGTTGGCAATTCCTTAACATGTTCACCTTCAACAACACGTAAGACTCGAAGGCTTTTACGAACGTTCGGCAAATCATGTGCAAGGCCATCGCTCAAAATCAAAGTTCGTGGCTTTAAGAGACTTTCCCTACCGGATCTAAGTTCAACCGAGGGAACCAAGAAAATGGACTCTTTAGCTGCTTCCTTAACAAAGTCATACACAAGATCGTGAATAGTGAATTTTATAGTTCTTCCAAACCCATCCTTCTCGGAAACTTGCAACAAAGAAGTCCGGAGCAAAATACTCATGTAGTTACGGCCAACATCCTCCATTTCCAGGTGACTTCCCTTGGAAGGATTGAGCAATCCCTGTGCCATCCAAAGTTGTATCATGCTTTCCACTGTTGCAACGCCACCCTTTCCCACTATAGTACAATATAAAAGACATTGTTTCAACGACAATGAAGGCAAATGATCGTAGCTTAACTTTATAGCGGATATGACTCTTCTTCCAGCTTCTTCCATTGCAGCCATTGTTTTATTATTTTCTATTTTTGACCACTCACGTTCATCCTTTTTGTACCACAACAAACCTCCTATTGCCGCTACTGCCAATGGCACACCACCGCACTTAGCAACAATTTTTCTTCCTATATTTATCAATTCAGGAGTCTTTACTGCTGCGCAACCGTGACCAAATGCTATTTTCTCAAACAATTCCCAGCTATCACCAGCAGAAAGTATTCCCAATGGACAAGGAAAAGATGGTTGCATGATTGAAACAACTGTCTCGTTTCGAGTTGTCACGATTATCCTACTTTCGTCCGATGCACCTATACCTCGCAAACACTCCCTCATTCCATCCCATTTCTTTGCATCTTCATTCCAAACATCATCCAGTACAAGCAAGAATCTTTTAGTTTTAAGTACCTCGTTAAGCTTTCTTACAATTGCCTCCACAACTGTCAGATTAGAGTTGGTTCCTGTAAGAGACTCTACCATCTTATTTAAGAGTCTTTCAACATTGAAATCTTCTGACACGTGGATCCACAATTTGTGATCAAAATGCCTCAGCAATAGTTGTCTTGCCCAAACCAGCCATCCCAACTATACCAATAACTGATAAGTTATTACCATCCTTCTCTGATGAAGTTAACAAGCTTACAACCTTGTTCACTTCCTTACTCCTTCCCACAATACTGGAATCATCAACAAAAGGATGGGTCACTTCTGGGATTGTTAGACATGTTACCTCATAGGCTCGTTTTTGCCAATTTAATGACCTTTGTGGTCACAAAAAAAATTTAGCAACAGACCCGTGCCATACTTAAAAAGTGTAAATTACTCATAACCTCTTGTGCTTTTGCATGATACCACATAACCCGCTAAGGTTTGAAAATATTCATATAATCCCCTTGATTTTATTTAACATGAAATTTCATGAAAAATAGTCTCTGTAGCATCTTTAGCTGAAGTGGATTATTGAATAAAAGCATTAAATTGAATAAAAGCCTAATCATTTTGCTTAAAATCATAGGAGGAACAAGTAGATATTTATACAAACTCACAGGAGAGAGTTAAGCAAATATTTATCCAAAACTATAGATGGGTTAAATGGATATTAGAATTTGATCAAATGCACTTTTGGAGTACGTTTGATCAATCATTGCAACGTTGATACTTTCAGTTCTTTTTCTGCTTTATATAAAACTACAAGAGGCTTATGTGATCTTTATACAAAAGTACAAGGAAGCCATGAGGAAATCGTAAGGGAATAAAGGTAATGGACGTAGAAATTTTCCTTTGCCAAAGTTCCCATGTGTTAATAAGAAAACTCAATAAAACGTGAGATTCGCTTAGATAAAAGTTTTCAAAATTTTAATATATAACCTACATTAATTTAAGAAAAGAATATTGTAAATATGTGGCATTTACCAGTCGTACGTGGATGTTGAGAAAACCAGTGATATATATATATATATATATATATATATATATATATATATATATATATACTCTTTTTTTTTTCAAGCTTTGTGTACTTATTTTTCCTTCTCACAAAGATCTAGTTTTATGTTAGTATATTTTATTAGTTTCACTCCCACTAACTTAAGACAATTTGCTTTACAAAATTTTGTCTACGAAAGCGATGGAAGCCAAAGTCATACTAAAAAGTCCACTAGAACTTTATTTAATTGCTCATAGGTTACCCTCCTCGGTGTATATAATGCATACTAGGTAGCTTCTAGCTCTTGGTTCTAGTGAAAATTAGAGCAGACATTTCTTCATTTCTTTCTCAGTCTCAAAACTATAGTATGGAAGCATCCTTGCAAATTAGTGGGATTAGTACTCGGTTTGGAAAAACGGTTCAATTCAATCAGAAAGGAAGCTGTAAGGAGAAATTTCTTCAGCACAGAACTGTGATCTCATGTCAGGCTGCTAGAACCGTGCAGACTGGAAGAGCAGCCAACTTTTATGAGGTACTTTCTCTTGATTGCTCCAAATTTGTAGGTCTTCAAGAAATCAAGAAAGCCTACAGATGCAAAGCTCTCAAGTTCCATCCTGATTCTTGCCCTCCATCGGAAAAGGAAGAGTCCACAAGGCGATTTCTTGAGCTGAGAATGGCATACGAGACACTGTCTGATCCAATTTCGCGAGAATTGTACGATCATGAGCTTAGTTTGGTCGATGTGGATGGAAGAACAAGACATGGGATGAGTTGTTCCATGGGAAGTAAGGTGTGGGAGAGGCAAATCGCTGAACTGAACAAGCGATCAAGACAAAAGATGGAGAAGAGAAAGGAAATGGGAATGTGGAATTGAGAAAACCGCCACCAACTTCTAGATATTGCTGTCCTGGTTGTAATATAGCAAGAAAGTTTAGCATGAGGCTTAAGCTCTTCCCAAAATGTTATTTCTACTTATGTTTGAGGTAGAAATATTGTGGCAGGTCCTTGTGGTTCAATATGTTCACATGAATTTTCGCATACTATGCTTATCTGGTCAAATTTTATATTATGGTATGTTGTAAGGTTTTACTTAATCAGTCTACAAACTTATGTTAATAGAAAATTTGAAATGACTAATTATTATATGCAAATAGTTTCAAGTAGCACTGTTCAACTCCCTAACTAATCATGCTTCATCATTTTCAAAGCTATAAATCAAAGTGAATACCAAACCCAAAGTATTAAAGTGGAATCTTTTGTAAAAGTACTTATTAAGCGTTTAACGGTATTATTTGACTATAAACTTGCAAAATTGCCTTTTATACTTAACAATGTGAAAATTTTAATTTCTGAATTGTGTTTATCTTCACATAGAGTTCATATTTTGTGATAAAACAAAGTAATTTTTTTTTTTTTTTGAGTTTTTGCAATATAAATGTTACCCAACAAGTGTTAATTTTGAACTAGCGCTAAAGCCTGATGCAGCGCATCAAGTTGCCCTGATTAATTGTAGTATTTGCGCTGATGCATTGTGTGGCGATAATACAATCACACATGCTCCCTCTCGGATTTCATTTTAGCAATTAAGCATCAAGGAGAAGGAGAAAGCTACAATGTTCCAAGAATAGACTCAAGTTGGTGGGCTTCTGGCGTGGAGCCGCTAAGGCAACAAAGGGAGAAAAAGTACACAAGAAAGCGGGTACCTTCTCCTTTTAAGGCAAAGGTAACTGATTCCGATACAAAAATGTACAAAAATATAAAGGGGTAAGAGCACCACTCACAAAGAAGCTGAGGTGTAATTACCAATAACCAAGTTGCAACGAAGCGGTCAAATATTTTCAGATCTTTTCTTTGTTGAAGGGCCAAAACTTAAATAGACCTAATTTTTAAAGATTTGATGGTTCGAATTGTGTCACATCATTTGATAAGATAGTGTAGCATAATTTGGACCATTGAATTTTTAAAAATCAAGTCTATCAAAATACGAGCCCAATTGAAGAATGATCTCAATTAGGACTGCAAATGAATCGAACCGCTCACGAGCAACTCGAGTCAAACTCGACTCGAGCTCGAGTTCGAGCTGGCTTGAGTCGAACTCGAGTTCAAAATATTAAACTCGTTAGCTCGCAAGCAGCTCGAGTGTGTATATATATATATATATATATATATATATTATTTTAATAGTAAAATTACATATATCCGGCTCGCAAGCTCGAGTATATATATATATTTTATTTTAATAGTTAAATTACATATATATTCATAATATTTTATTATTTATTAAGAAAAAATTTTATTTTATTTTTTTTCTAAAAATAAAATAATTATTTTTATTTTTTGAATTCGAACTCGAGCTCGAATTATAAGCTCGTCTAGCTCGAGCTCGAACTCGAACTCGAGCTCGAGTTCGAATTTAGTAAAACTAAGTCAAAACTCGGTTCAATTAAACCAAAATTCGACTCGATTCGGTTCGATTGTAGTTCTAGATTCTCAATAGATAAAATCGAAGAAACCATATCCAACGGCTGAAGTGTTACCAAAATATTATCCACCAAATCATTGTCAGCACATGGACCACATATAAATGCTATATCCCGAAAAAGGCCACTCTCTTGTAATTGTCACATTATGAGGTATGAAAAGGTTATCTATAGTTTCTTGGGAAGATAACAGCAATAATGTCACCTTCCACCCATTAGATCAAATACTTAAAATCAATTGAACAGCAAGATATTACTGCCAAATCATTAGTGCATATTTCCTTATATAAGAGCCTCCCACAAGCAATATGTAACTATGATTCTCCCCTTTGTTGTTGAATATGATAGTGGTGGTTTTCATCAGACCTCAATTCCTACAAACTCACAGGCACATTTGCTCATGCCTAAATTTCATCAAACCACAACTTTTTTGCAACTTCTAGAATTTCAAAAGCAGCCTCGACAGTCCCCAGGGAGTTTATTTTTTCTACGGAAATAAGAGGCTAGCAGCTAATTACAATGTCACATCTCTGCTTGGTACCGGTGCACGCACTTGACTTTTGAGTGCAATAGCTAGAATGAGAAGCTTTAACTAAAACACTTGGATGATATGCTCTGAAGAATAGTCAATTTGGGAGAACTAAGTTGTAATTCGTTCCAAATGTAATTGTATTGCATAATGGAATTCAAGGCAATTAAATTCTGCTCCTGACTGAAACCCTTAACATCACTGTCAAATATATATCCTCAATAATGCTTGAGAAAGCATTCGAATTTAGAGACATAAAGCAGTCAGTCCTTACTGTGTTGGATGATAAAGTACGTTTCAACAAAAAACTAACCATTACTACTATATCCCCACGTGCCTAGCACACTGCAACAATAAATAAAGGCTGAAATGGTCATTATCTACATCCCCATGCATTAGAAACTTGTACAATTTGCTTGACCAATTAGACAATAAAAAATTCAATTATTGAATTACCCTCCATGGGGCAGATGAAAGCGCCCTTTTTTTTGTATATATATATACATATGTATAGGATGCAAATAATTTAAAATCAGAAAATTTGTAATTGTACCATTTACTCAAAAAATTTTCCCTATATTTCTATTCCAGTTAGGTCTCATGCTGCTTGCAGAAGATAAAACTTATTTTCCAGATGATAATTTTGTGGAATAATTACGAATGGAATTGATTTTGTTGTTAGAGAGTTGCTGTCCAGTTGGAACCTCTCTATCTGATGCTGCTCCAGTCAACAAAGTTAAACTTCTTTTTAACTGTTAACATGATACAATTTTTTTATTTCAAATCTTGTTTCCTTTCTGGATATAATTATTGGAGCCATCTGCCCTCAAGGTTGCTGTATGGATATATTGACCCTTAACCTTAGGTGCAGTGGCTGCTTCTCCTACAAAGTTGGAAGAAGTCGATCAAGGATGTGAAGTCATCAACGGAGTCCACCTTGGCCTCCAACGTTAGATGGCAGAAAATACGAGAAATTTCTAAAATTATGATGATTTTTAAAAAAATTCTACAAATGGGGTATTTTGTGTACTGGTTTCTGTTTTTG